TTTTTTTTTTTTTTTTTAATTTGGGGTAGTAAGATTATACTGTGGAGATTGAAATAAACCCATGTTTGTTGTCAATGACTACCATCCCCTTATATATTAATCCAGAACACGTTAAGCCTACGTGGCTGCTTTTGGTGCTTCGGAATCTTATGTGGCAAAATTACATGTTTCGTTATTAGGCTTGGGTAAATTTTAATTTAATTCCAAACAAAAAATAATTAGGTTCGAATTACAATAAATATGTTAATTATTTATGGTCATGTTACATGTATTAATTGCATTTTAATATCATTCCTTATTATAACTATTGAATTGTATATATATTTTAAAAGTTAATAACTTTTGTATTTTTTATCAGTTTTACATATGTAATATATCAAATTAATATTCTTTTGATAAGCTTCGAGTTAACATCAATACAATGTATGTATAAAAAAAATAATTTATATTTATCTTTATAAAAATAATAAAATTATTTTTAATATTAATTAGAAAAATAAAATATATATCAACTAATATATTTATATTTCAAGTAGTTATATGATATAATAAACTAATATAATATAACACATGTAAGTCATAAGTAACACATATCATTCTAAAACATATAGTAATATATTTATTTTGTAAAAAAGTAAACTAAATTTAATATAGTTTTCTCATTAATTTTAAAATTTAAGAATAATTTTTTAACAAGCATCCGTGTAATATACGGGTGTTGTACTAGTAAGATAGGATTTATGTAAAAGTTAATTCCTATGTTTGTTTGCCATGACAACAATTAAGATAAAATCTGAATTTACCAATTTGTCCCTTAATCTTTGCCCAATTACTAATGACCATTTTCTTTTATTTTTTTTAAAGAACAAAATCTATAACAAAAACAAGTAATTTTTTTTTTTTTTTCTCATAGACATTTCATCACTAACAGCCTTAAACTTTCACCAAACAATCACTCAACTAAAACTTATACATGAGTTCAACAAATCACATTCTCTCCAGCATAAAATACCAAGAGCCACTAAACAATCTATAGTTCATCAAGAACCAAAGTCATGTACTTTCAGCAAGACGATGCCCTTTACCAGCAACACATGGCTAGAGGATTTCGAACTCAATCTTTTCGAGCTCGTTTTCACCCTGGACTCAGGCCTCGGGTGCAAATTACACCGTGAAGCGAGTACATGAGTAGAGTATTATGCCAGTCCTCAAAATAACAATGTAGATATCAAAAAGAACAATGTTGCCATATGACTTCGGAAAATATGAAGCAATTCTTCAAGCTTTTAGATTGAACTTGCACGGGATGTGCATGTGTAGAGTCTCATAACCTTTCTGCAAGTCGGACCCAAGTTCAACTAAAACACCTTCGAGTTTCTTTTTAATGACATATGTAACGAGAAGCAAATAGATTATGAGACGAGATACTTCACTATGTTGTGGGCTGAGAGGAAATAGCAATTGGAATCACAATTCTCTATCACCTGGCTCTGAATAAATATAGTCAGACTATTTTTAAATATAATGGCAACCACTTTAATGACGAGAAGTTTCAAATGAAGATGGTAAAAAGAAAAACACAAATGAATGTAACAAATTAGAAAGGCAAAATAGCAGACCCATTTGCAGAACAATACACTGTGATTGAATTAAAGAAAAGAAAAGAGCACCTATTTCTTAGAAAAATAAAAGAACAAAATTATGCAGTTAGCAAGCAAATAAATAAGATTTCAACAAGGTTAAAAAACTCAAAATTCTAGTCACTTATTTTTTTATTTTTTTTTTTCTGGAATTAAGGAAGGTTTAAAATAGACAACCCTTACAAGTCCCTTTGGTTTTTTGAAAATAAAAATTCTGAAAAATGAATGAAAATCGGGTCTTGAGGAACACTAAAGCCCACATAATCAATGAAACGGAAAAATAACTGGCATTCTTGAAATCTTGTTCTAAGTTTGCTCTCTCTCTTCCATGTCCTTTGAAACAGTGGCGGCCTTTGGTCGTTAGCCGGAAGATGGAGGCGGGAAAATACACTGTGGGCGGTGGCCGGTGAATGTCGTTGGATCTTGAGCAAATCTAGCAGTGAATGGCGAGAGAGAAATGAATGGATGTCGGGAGATCTTGAGCAGAGGTAGGGAAATAGGGAACTGAATGACGAGAGTATATCGAAACAATGACGAGCGTGTTGGTCAGTGGAGGAGCCCCGGTTTAGAGGGACAATGTTGCTCGATGGGCGACATATGGTTGCGAAGGATGGTTGATTGGGATGGAAGGGAAGCAAAATGATGTAATTTAATTTGCTTTCAAGGACAAAATGAAAATTTAATTCTTTTGATACTGCACAGATAAAAATATCACGCCCTCCCCCCTAAGATTATTTTATCTTGAATACGCACAATAACTGCATTTTTATCTCGAGCCAATCATAATCTGGCGGGCCAAAATCATGGTTAACAAACGCAAGATTAACTCAAATTAATGGAGTTATCCTATTTAATCCGGTCAACCAGACGTGCTCTTACAAGTGTAATAATTTACAAGTGTTTTAATTTGCAATACTATAATAAAAGATTTTATTAATTTTCTTTACTACCTAGCAGACATAGTAATATGGGAGATGCTACAAGTCCCGTTACGGAACCATTCCGTCGGGGTTTGTAACCTTTAGATCAACTATCCTTCTAACAGTTACAAACCCGACAGAATGGTTCCTTAACCGTAGCATTTCCCTAGTAATATACATTAAATGTCATATGCATTAATAAATTTCAATTAATTTACACTAAATGCCAAGTGACCTTTCAACTGTCCTGATCTGTACTCCCTTATCCAATAATCAACGGCGTAAGTAATTTCAACTTTTCATAGAAAGAGTTAACTAAAATGCGGCAACATCCACTTCTCAGAATGACTTGATTACAAAGATTACACAACAGCAGCTCCCCACAGTTAAATACAAATATAGATAAAAATAATGAGGTAAAAGCCCCTTTGCAAGAAAGGATTTACCCATAATTAGCAGTATACTACTATTCCTTGTTCCTTGATGACCTGTCCTTCCTGTGGCCGCCAAGAATACGCGAGATCTGAAGACCTCTGCTGAAGGCTTGGTTGAAAAGCATTCGCGTTTGGAACTCCGAGACAAATGGGAACCATGCAAGAAAAGCCACAGGCGTGAACAGAAGCAAACCCATCATGATTTCGTAACCGCGGGCCAGAGTTCTAACCGAACCCCAGAACCCAGCTTTTTGGACGACTGGTTTGCATGCTTGTGCAATCTGAGGAAATAGAAAAAGAAAAAGAAAAAGAGAAGAGAAAATAGGTAGTCGTTTTAGCTTGTTATAGGAAATGGTTAGAGTTTTTTTATAAAGGAAAGGCTGTGCTTCCAAAAACACAAAGACCACCTTTGAGGTTCGATCTGCTGCAATTTTCCCAACACTAGTTTATCTCAAGGAACTTGTCAATTTGGTGTTACAATAACATTTACAGTTACAACCCTAACATTTAATGGACACGTTTTCGATTGGTTGATATATGACGAGGGTTATTTATAACATTTTTAACAAGATTTGAGGGACAGAGTTCTTAAAAAAATACCAACTTTTTTATCCTTTACATTTTCTACCAGCAGTTAGTGTTGGCCTGTATGAACTCTCTTCATGCCATATCATAAAATTACATCCCTCTAGTTTCTGAATGTTGCAAATAGACCAACTTTTCATTTGGTTATACTTATATAGTTTAGATATTGAAACTGAAAAGTTGAGGGGCAAGTTGAAAATGTAAGACGAAAACTTGTGAATATCGTATATACGAAATTCAAGAGATGAAATTCCAGAAATTTTTTATGACCACAGGACCATCGCTCCAGATAGGAAGTGCAAAATGTCAGGAATATGTAAACTTGACAAATGATGTTTGTAATTTTTTAGGCTAGCTTGGATACTGGATAGTTCGGTAATTAGGCAAAATCTTAAAGGTGAGATTACTTAAAGTACACACTATACTAGCAACTGTACTTGTTTATGAAATGCAAATAGTTTGACAAGTGCAAGCGAATATGAACGGAAATATTACTAACCAGTAGCAAACCCCAACCAGTGGGCATGAAGGCGAGTATGCAAACCACGATATCTCTTGCAGTCATGTGCGGTAATGCAATCAAAATAACAAGGATAGAGATGAATGTGACAAAAATCAAACCCTTGATGAGCCGGAAGACAAGTTGAAAATTTGCACTGAATTTTCTCCGTCCAACAGAAATTGTCTGAAAGATATCAATTGGAATTGTAGGTCAATAAAAGCGACTAAAATTAATCTTCAATAAAGTTTCCAGAAATTCACCGGGAAGATAAAGAATAAAAATATAAGCTCGACAACTGAAAACAATCTGACTCACCTTCATAACAAAGAGTATCACAAAGATCACTAGCCACGACAAGCCATACACCTGTAGCCAAATCCAAAGATACTGTGAGATTCCATCACCCTAAAGGCTAAAAACTATAAAAAGGGAAAAAATTTCGGGAGGCTGAGAAAATTTCTGCAAGAAAATACATACGTAAACATTTTGGTTTGTTTTGGTGATGTTCAGGTGATAAACAAGCCCGTACTGATAAATGAAAAACCTTAACGCCAATACTATCTCAGCAATAATACCACGCTTCCCAGAATGACGCAAATGATCTTGCTCCTCTTCCCACCATGATTCCCAACTCTTCTCCGGAGGCACACCAATGCCACCCCTATTACTAATCCACTTATTCCAATCAGTCCAATCATCAACAATCTTTTGCCACTCGAAACCCGAAGGATTAAACAGGAAAGGAGCAAAAAGCCAGGTGCCGACCATAAACCACATAGACACGGTGATTAAGATATACGCAACAGCACCTCTGTAGGACTGACCGAATATTTGATAGACAAGAAGCAGTATCATTAGCTCGAGCCCCTTAACAAAGTGGCTACGAGAGTAGAGTCTATAATTATCTGCAAATTTGGCATGGAACACGACAAATCCACGGCCTGTGGCCCGATATTTTGCACCACCATGAAGTAATGTCCTCCCATAATAATGGGTTTTGGTCCCAAGCGAAAATGTGAAAAATACAGGCGCCAGTTGCAGTTGCATGAGTATGAACTCGCTTAGTGCTGTTCGGAAACCCTTTTCTAACCCAATTTCCATCATCATAGGGAGAGCCATTAGAAAACCGATCTGCACGAAAGACTGAGAGGCAAGAGCAACTTCGAGAGATTTATTCTCTCTTATTTCGCGGTTGCTAGTAAGTCCCTTTTCTAAACCACTAAGAACAAGATAAAGGCGACCATAGAGAAAGACGTATACAGTGAGCACAGTTATCTGTCACAAGAAAGGACAAGGTCAGGAAAATGGAAAAGAAACCTAAAAGCAACCTTTAGATGATATTGTTTTTGTTATATGTACCAAGGTACTGAAATAGAAACCAATGGTCGTGAAATAGCATGAGAGCATTCGGAAGAAATCAAAGCGATGGCCCAGCCTGTATAGATCACGACTCAATGTTTGTTCTCCATTTCCATTAGCAATTTTCGCTTCAAATAGAGAAATCTGGTTAAGACCCACATCCCTGCCTTTACCAACTTGTATGTATTCATGATGAGTTACATTGCCTTCACGGAGAGTAGAATTGAAGCCTGCATTTGAGTCGTAGTAGTAAGTCAAGCTAATATTATTGTCCATATAGGAAATATATAGTTTTAAAGGGAAAAAATGCGAACATACCAGCAAATATGTCCTCACTGAGGTTGATAATTTTGGAGGCTTTGCTCACCCCGCCTCTTGTAAGGTGAAATAGTCTATCAAAAACGTCTGGATGACCATAATGAAACCGAACCCTGAATGAAGAAAGCATAGTTCAAGACATTTAACTCCACTAACTCGATTGTAAAGAATGAATAAAAGATTTAAATAGATACAAAAGATTAAAAAAGGAAAAAATAAAGGAAGGAGAGGGGAAAAAGAATATTATTAGAACTTCACAACAATAGAGAATAATTCCTAGTACGAAATGTCAAATCAGTTTTATTTTCATTTTCCTAATTTATTATTTGTTGAACGCTTCGATACCATTATAAATATCATTTACTGAATGAAAAATGGTTAAGCCATGAAAATGCAGAAAAAAAATAAAGGAAAAAGAACTCACTTGAGAGGGTTGGCCAACAATCTCTGACCAATAGTAACAAAACTTGTCTCTTGATTAGACATAAACCAAGCAAGTGAAGAAACACTGCATTATGCAGTAAACAATGATGCAGTGAGGTTAAGGCACGGTCAAATAGCTAATTTTCAGTCAGGAATACTGATTTTAAAGTAGTGGTTCACCTCCCAGTGAAAATATGTTCCCTCAGTCCAAGAATTGATGGGTGCCTCAGATCGTGCCTTTTAAGAAATTCTTGAAGCAAGTTCCTCATTTTTAGAGCTTCTTCCATGTAATTATCCTAACGTCACATTATCATGTCAGCACTTACAACAATAATTTAAAAGCCACATGAGCAAAAAATCACATACCTGATTCATATCAATTGTTTGTAAGCCTTCTCCACGAGTGAAAATAATTGCATGATTCTGATTTTCAGGCTTCCCCTCTCCCAGGATAGCAGGGCCTGGAAGTTTTATTCGATAGATAATCTGACAAATGAGCAAAAAACTTATCAGATGAAATTATGTTAATTTGTCAACATAATTTATGCACATAATGCAGTGTGAAAGATTTTTACAACATCGGAGAATGGATTACAACTGAAAGAATAGAAGCCAGTTTATAGTTAACTGAGCCTCTAATGTGGTGCCTTCTTATATAAATCTCTTCACCTGATCCAGATTCTGTCCAGGCTCTGAAGAATCTGATTTCGGCAAAGCTGCTTTCACAAGAGTGGAGTAGTACACTTTATCATTAACCTTCTTGGTCCTGTCTTTACTAGGCTCTTCAACTTCATCAATATATGCTACCCGAAGAGATGGATATCTGGTTGAGAAACAGAACATTAGGAGATATTGGTTCTACTAGACATACAGTTCTACACTTCTGATACTTACGTGGTCATGAGTCTCAATATATCTTGTGCTCGAGGATCTCCAGACCGTTTTTGAATCCCGTATAATTGGCAGGACACGACATAAGTAAACTTCATATCAGCTACTGCTTGACATTGTGTCCACAGGGACCTCTCTCCCTTCATTTGATCTTCATTCAGTTCAATGGCCTTGTAGCCTTCCATTAAATCTGTTCACATGGAAAAGAATAGCCACTTAGACTACATAATAAACCGTTGCAAGTGCATGAACTGCAGACTGATTTTAATACAAGGTTTTAATTCAAATAAGTGCATGCAGAAGATTTACCATCATCCTTAGCCATATCAAGGAATGCCTGAAGTTCAAGAGCTTTGCGATAATACATCATTCCTCTGACTGCAGCGATGTGAAAAAATGCATCAGCCCACCAAAGAAGAAAAGCCAAAAAAAAAAAAAGACAACATAGAATGCTTTAATTCATTGGTACCAGTTTTGGTCAGTGTTTGGCCTCGGTATGACGCCCAAAGACGTAACTGTTCCTCCAATTCATCCCTAAGTTCTTCTTCATTGTAACAGTTGACACGCTCCAAGAAGTTATTCCATTCATCTATGTGATATATGGCAATTCATGTAAGGTTGGAAGAGAATGCAAAGTGCGATAAACGCCAATAGTTTCAAAGTACAAACCTGGAAAGATTTTCTGCAAGTAAAAGAGAATAGAAACACCATCTTCATTCGGTACTTCTAGCTCAGGCAATGAGAATAGAACCTCCTCCGTGTAATATGGAGTCAGAACACTTCAGAATTAACAGCGTTCAAGTCAGTAAAAAGAAAAGGATTATTAGGATTTCCAAGTTCAGTGTCTGGGCATGAGCATGAAGTCCAATCGGGGAAACAGACAAATATTGATATGGTCAATGAGCTACTGAAAAGATAAAACGCGCCCTAAAGGTAAAACTGCCAAGATTTACTGGGTAGGTCATAACCAAAAATATCTTCCAAATGGTACCACCTTTAATAATCTATTGAACACCACAAAATCATGCCCAACAGTTATTGCTTAACGACTATCAAACACAAGCGTTGATTGATTTCGAATTCAAGAATTTCCTTAATATCTAACTAATTTAATCAAGAAAACAGTACCCAGTACCCAAAATTTATATGCCAACAGAATGTTTTTATTCACCTAGTGTAGCTCAAGCTTTCGAGAATGATGTCACAGTTTTTGCCCATCCAAAGCTCATCTAAAACTGAACACTAGTTAATTCCCCTTACTTAGCCCATCATAGCACCTTCAAGCACATTCTTTGGGCTTAGAACGCATCTAACAAGGATGCATCTTTTGCTTAATTTATCTCCATTTTCTTTGGCATAAAACTCATGGCAGACTAAAAACTATAATAAGACAAAATAAATGCAAAGGGCGCATGCCAACCCTACCAACTTTACCACTTATGAGAATAGCCAAATCCATCTACAGTACAATGCAGAAATAAAATGAAGTGAAAGAGATCAGCACAAACAACTCACGAGAAAGAAAGCATGTTGCGGACTTTAGGAGCTGAAGGCATGTCCATAAACAAGGAATTAGAAAAAAATGAAATGCGTCTTCTGGCTTCCAAGTTTGATGGCACATCCATGGCAGATTCCTTCACTGTCAGCAACAAGTACAACCTCTTGATCTGTGTGAAGGGCAAAATCACATGTTAAGCACTAAAAATGTTGGAAGAATTATCTCTGAAAGCAAGTCCACTGTACATGCCTTCTCTTTCCAAGCTTCAGTTTCAGGAGCTGGAAATTTTATGGCACCAGCTGATGCAAACAACTGATACTGTTGATCCAGAGGGACCATTCCTTCATTTCCCGCTCCACCATGAATTGAGTCCAACAAACTGTTCAAAGGGAAAATACAGAAATAAGAACTTATACAGGCCTAAAGTTTGAGAATTGCTTAATGAAAGAAACATTACTTGGATACATGATCTTCCAGCATTATATCTCGAGTCACAACTTCCAACATGTCCTGAAAAAGAATGACAACTTGATCCCTGTCCTCTGGCTTGTTCTCCAGCTGCAAAAGAGGACCAATTCAACATCAAATTCACGCATCACCAAAATCAGGAAAAGATCAATTTAGCCATAGTAGCAGCACACTAGTGAAACAAACTTACCAAGTATTTTACAAGCTTGACGAAGAGATCATACAAACTTGGAAGAGCATTCAGCCTGTATTCAGTTAATAGATTGTCCTCCTCTATATGTTTGTCAACTTCAGAAAATATATATTCAATCACCCTGTGAAATATTATAAGATGATTAAACAGTGAGTAAAACGAGCACGGGCTCAAACTACCAGCTAAAATATACGTACTCTTTCTCTCGGTTTCCACGAACTAATAATTTAACAATATTCCGGAACGAAGCATAGCACTCGCAGACAGCAGAATACATATAATCATCTGACTTGATCCGCTTTTTGAGTTCGCTGTCCTTGCCATTACTGTCTTTAGCCATATCCACAGCTATTGGGATCTATTTTTATTTAACAAAAACCAGTTACAAAGAGAAAAGTATGACCACTGACCACTATTAATCAAACACTGTGATTCAGAGATGGAAAATGAAATCAAATATTGTGTATCTAATCATCATATGGAACCTTTATCCTCTTTCAACACATTTATTTCCTTACGAATTTTTTTATTTCACACCTTAAAACTGTTAGAAATAGAATGTGAATATTTTAGCTCCCGTTCTGGTTAGCACAAGTAGATGATATTCGATTTCAAATTTCTACATACCTAGAATCTAGATTAGTTTTATTCTATTGTTTCTATAATGGTGCACCTTTCATTATTCTAACACAGAAATTCATTTACTTAATCTACTTCTTGTCACAAAAACAGTATATAGTTTAATTGAAAGGAGGTCTAAGTACTTTGAAGATGATTGTCTATAACGATGCCACAGTAGACACCGATTCTCTCATTCATCCTGACACCCGGGAAAAGAAGACAATAGCTCCCCACATGCCATAATTTATAGATAATCCTTTGTGAACAAAATCAATAATAATGTTCAATGACATAGATCAGGTTGGTTTGCTGGGCATGCCTAAGACATAAGGAAAAGCTACACTTCTGCATGCTGGGAATGAATCTAATCGAAAGAAATAAATTATTAAATTGAAACCTTGCTGGCGAGCAAAAATGGAGGCCACTGCATCAGCTCCAAATCACGATCGGCCCAATACGGAACAAGCAACAGATCCATTTCCCTGTTACCCACATAAGTCAACAAATGCCATATATGTCTCATCCTTAATCCTTTTGTGTACCCAACATAAATTGATAATGAGAAAGAAATACAAAGTCAATGTTGTTTGGTTCACAGGTTCAGTCCAAAGGTCACCTATTACTTATCAGATCCTCCTCTCTAAAACTTGTAATTATTTTGTTCCACAACTGAGCAAACCTTGCAGCTTCTTTTTCCTTACTGGAAGGTATCTGAGACCAATAGGTGAACAGATACAGTCAATTGCACAAACTAGTTAATATTTTATTAGAATTAAATTAAGAGAACTAATAAAAATATTCTACCACGTCAAACTTGCGTGAGAATGTGGCTTTCAGTCCTTTCTTTTTGGTTGCCTCAGCCTTCTCCTCGGGGATTAAACAGGCATTGAAAGCACCAGGTAAAGATTGAAACCGGGATCTAAGCATTCCTAATGTACGTATCTGGAATAGAAAATGGTCGCAGGTCAAGCCCCAAAGATATAAATAGTCAATCTTAAGCATAACCTCACACTGAATAACTGTTCACTCAAGCTTCGATTTCAGAAAAAAAATCTTCACCAAATTCATACAGTTACTGGCATCAGAATGCAATGAACTAACCACAGAAATATTCATTTTCCAAGTGAAATAGTAACACAATGCTCAAATTCCTAAGTATTTTCTGGCAGACTGGCACAATCATAATGTTCTATTTCTGGTGATATTCCTATATTTTACGCATTTTACACTCACAAAACTGTTCTTTTCCAGAGTGGTAATAAATTAATGATATGCAGCAAGCAGCACATAATGCTTTATTCATATATTTAAGTATGCTCATTGTCTCTTTCATATCCAAAAAATGAACAAGGGATATGTAACTAGCCATTCGTCAAGAGAGTATACATATACACTAACTCAACACTGTTGATATTTTGCAAAAGTTATTCAATAAAAGTTGGTATTCACTGAAACTATTGCTGAAGATAGATTCTTCTGACCTCTCCAAGGCGACGGAATGCACCATATATACCTCCAAACAATGTAGAGAAAATGGCATACCAGATCTGTGTGTCCATGAAATAAACCTGAAACGAAAAGAGCTCATAAATCCCTGTTTCCAAACATAGAGGAGAAATAATGAAATGCTATACAGACTGCAGGTATAGCATTGAAATGTAAAATAAGATACTGAAAGCAACGCATGATCCATACAAGAATAACTGGCGCCCATAGTGCAATTACGACACCGATGTTGTTCTTAGCTGCAAATACAAAGAAGAAATTCAATAATTGGTCAGCAAAATCAGTGCCAATATCCATGTCCAAGAGCTGCTCTGTTTGTTCTGGTATGGCCACAGGAAATAACTTAGCTCAGGATAAAAAATCCATTTGAGTACCTTGGGGGAAAAACTCATGCCACTGATAGTTTGATATATGAATTCCCATTATAGTTTGAGTAGGATTCACAAGAGGCTTGATCTGAAATGAAAGTCTTGGTCAATGATATTAGTACTCATATCATCATGGTGATGGATTACAAGAAATTAAATCAGCACAGTTACACAGCCCAAACAGTATAAGAACCTCCCCGAATGCCCTAAAAATGATCTCTAAAATCAGTCAATGAAATGAGCTAAGAGCCTCAACTGTGAATTAGGGGGAAGAAATGAGAGAAAGAAAATAGAAGATACAAACTCAGTATGAAAAGCATGAATGCAATTGGCTCAAGCAATACATAAAGACAATAAAGTCATCATAGAGCAATAAAAATGGATTTAGGCACGCACCTCAATATAAAAGCTGCATGCCAACTTTGTAGTGAGAAGCAGCACCCAGAATAATGTATACCTGAGAATTTGAACCAATAATTAAGCATCACGAGTTAAAATTTTGTCAACAATAAGGTTCTGCTGGTGAGGCCTTACTTGAAGAGAGAAAACGTGCTCTCATGCATTCCCCTTCCTACATAGAGTCGGGGCTGCAAGGTATCAAGTGAGAAACATTATTCAACTAGAATTCAACTGATACAGAATGGCTTATACAAAAATAAAAAAAAAAAAAAAAAAAAAAAAAAAAAAAAAAACATGTTATATTACCTGTGACCACCACATCATTAGCATCACAATTTTGTAGTTGGAACTCTCAAGGAACCGACGAATGAAGGGGAAGAGGAAAAGAAGCACAGCAAGCATATTTGGTGATAAGTAGATAACAACAGCTAGGATAAACAACGAAGGAGCACTTGAGCTATTTCCAAACCAGCTTTTGATAGTTTGAGCAAATCCAGGAGGATTCTCCCATGAGTATGCATAAGTAACAGGGAGGATAATCACCCATGAAGCAGCAGAAACAACCTTCAGTATGTACCGTAGTTTGACGTGGAAGGACATGGTCCGTCTTGCTTTCCAGCTCAAAATTACATCAAGTATGGCTGTAAATATATAGTTGAATTGATATCACAGTAAGCGGAATACAACTTTTGGCATGTTCATATAAATCAGTAAGAGTACATGACTAGACATAATAAGCATATAGCGTAGATCTAGTGCACCATCAAGAACATGACGACCACCTTCAGCAAAATCATGGTCGATTCTATACATCTCCAATTGTCATCACGACAGGAAACAGTTGCATGGAAACACTACCAACGGCATGAGTATGTAAGAGTTATAGATTCTGGGGAAGGGCGCGGTCCCACAAGGGTGAAGGGCTGAGCATAGGACTAGGAGAATTCCGCACCGTTCCGAAAACTGAACCGAAACACTACGAACTGAAAAATAACCGTTGACTGTTCCACTTTCTCTGAACCGAACCGCACCGAACCGAAAAAATAATTGGTGTGGTTCTGGAGATTTCACAAATATCTGTACCAGAACCGAACTGAACCGTCTCATACCGTACCAAACCGAGAAACCGAAATTACGAACCAAATTATAAAATTAGATGTGAGTTATTATTATATTTTATGTCAACGTTGATCCTATATAAATTGAGAATTTAAAAATGCAAATAAAATATAGTAATAACAATTGAGCTTCAATTAAATTTCATGCTTAGTAATACTTGATCCACAATTGAATTTTTCCTGTTTAAAAAAAAATATATGTAAAACGGAATGAAAGTTTAAAGAAATAATTTCTTTTTTCAAAAAAATAAACTTTACTTAAATTTGTCGATACTTAGTCTTATTCTATCTTATAACTAACATGGTATGTAAGGTTAAAGAAATATTACATTAATAAAAAAACTAGATTATATTTTATTTGAATCTTGAATTTTCAATGTTAGTTGCACAAGTTTAGCCTTAACTACAAATTAAAGTTATTTCAAAAATAAAATCTTTAGTATGAATGTTGAATTTTAAAAAAAGCATATAGAAAACAAAATATAACTAGGTAGTCATTCACAAAATTTTAAAAATAATTAGAAATCTCTGAATATCCAAACCGAACCAGTCGAAACGAACCGTTCCGATAGTCCCGAATACCAAACCAAAAATTATAAATCTTCAGACAAAGCCGACCCAATTTTTTTGTACGGTTCCGGAGATCTCCAAATTTCGGTACGGTTCTATAGATTTACCAATCTCCGAACCGTACCGACCCATGCTCACCCCTAGGTGAAGCACACCATAAGAGGGAGAGCCTAGGTGCACCTAAGTGAGTTTTCATCCCAAAATCAATTGGTGATAGGAAGAGTAGTCCACTAGGCTTATAAACTAGACCCATTTATCCTATACAACTCACACGTGATATTTCAATAGCAAATACCAAAGATAATTTAATATTTTCCATTTCGACACTACAACAACTTTCAGTAATTAGAAAACTTGGCCAATTCAAAGATCAAAATCAGAGTATTGATTGCTATCAGATTTATAGAATGGGGGGAAGAGGGTGCGGTCCCACAAAAGTGAAGCACACCATAAGAGGGTGAACCTAGGTGCACCTTAGTGAAGTTCCATCCCAAAACCAATTGGTGATGGAAGCAGTAGTGAGGCATATAAGCTAAAATCATTTTTCCTATACAATTTATATGAGATAACTCACAAGTGATATTCCAACTATTACCATTATCATTGTGACATTTCTTGCTTTCAATTACGACTAGGCATGTGTAGACCTCATCCTCAAAAGCTAGTTCGAAGGGAGACGGTGCCTATGCCACACTTGTACACAATAACAGCCTAATATCCATAGTTCTAAATGGCAAATGGCGAGGCGAGGCGATACGCCCATAGCCTAGCCACGAGGCGAGGCGATTCGCCATGGCGAGGCCCATCAAAGCTTAAAAAAACATATATATAGATAGTAATATCATATATTTAAATCTAAGTGCCAAAATAATCTTAAATATCCTAAAAAAAATTACATAAATTAAATTTAGTTGTAATTACTAAAAGCATCTAAAACTTAATTGTGAATACTAGTAATAAGGTAAATAAAAAGTGTAAAGTAAAAGAAAATGAAAGAAAATTGTCACCTTTGACTATTGACAAAATACTAAACATAAATAAAAGTAAAAAAATAAAGAAAAAAAGAAAAAGATAGGTGGTGGGAACGAGAAAACGGTGAAAAGGGAGAAGGAAAAGAAAGGAAAAGGCACGCATCACCGACCGTCTTGGCGGCGGCGAGATGGTGGCCGGAGTTCAGAGGAGCCGAAAATGGGATGGGTCGACCGTGCGTTTCTGCAATTTTCAAATCTGAGAAGCCTAAGGAGTTCTTTCGCAGAAACCCTAGTTCTAGTTTGGGGAGAAGCCATTTAGGGATTTTTCACTGAAGTTCTTTTGCTTCGTGGATCTGCTTCGTGGATCAGGGAGATGAAGTGAAGAAAGAACTCGATCTGTATTAGTTTATTCTCTTTCCAAAAAGTGGCACACGCTTTTCTTTTCTTTTCTTTTTTTAAATGGACAGCGCCTTTAATTTCTGTGAAAGGAGCTGAGGCGCGCCTCACAGGCGCCTCTCGCCACGCGAAAAGGCGAGCCGAGGCGACCTGAAGCATGCGCCTCGCAAACAGGGTCGCCTCAGGCAGTGGCGAGGCGATATGGTCCTCGCCTCGGTCGCCTCGCTCGAGGCGTCGCCATTTAAACTATGCTAATATCTAAGCCTAATATCTAATCAATGTAGGACAAACATAACTTCTAAAAGTAATCAACAGGAGAGATAAGATTATCCCAGTCGGCTTCCAGAATGCATAAGCTAGATCCATATGCTAAGAGCCTAAGAAGAGGCTTCAAATACAAAAATATACCATTCATATGCTATTGCACTGGAAAGGAAGATGTCAAAATACCTTGCCCAAGTTTCCAAATTGCAGCAGTTATGAAGATGCTCAGTACTTTCTTGAAAACATCAGCATCAAAAATCCCACTTGGCTGCCCCGTACCATTCCAGGCAATAATAATCATAGCCTTGATAAATAACACAATCCCCAGAGATAAAAACATGAGTAATTTCTCAAAATAGCAATGGGTGCTAGAAACATGAGAGAAATTTAAGAAATAAAACCTGCAGGCACAATATAAAGAAACTCCACATTCTGTTGAAGCTTCTAAAGATATGCCAATATGATCGTATTTCAACAAAATCAACTTTCCCCACCCATCGATCTCTCCCAGGTCTAGTTTCCTGAGGTGAGGTAACAGACAATAACATTCATTCATATAATCATATTACAAACTACAGATAGTCATATTGCAGGAAATCCATCAAAAAAACATGCTAAATATGCTTATATAAAAGAGATTATGAGTAAACTTAACCATTCAAAATAAGGTACATGAGAACTTGGTGAAAAAATAATGAATGACTACATTTGATGGAAGGGAACGAGAATGTAATGTTTTGGGAAACACAGAAAGCTGGTCCAGGACCACTGTTTCTCTTGTATTTGTCATGGATTATGTACAGTTTAACAAGGCACAAGTACAATTAGCACTGCTCTAAAGAGCTGGAATGCTTAAGACCAAGTTCACTTAGTCTAAGAGCTGGTGAAAGTCTGACTTAAAGTTCACATTGACAGCGCCATAATCTAAACTTACTAGGGAAAATCAAATTTTCTAATACAAGATATTATAACTCAAAGATCAATCCTGCTCACTCACATGAGTTTTCCAAATTAACCTTGAAATATTCACTAAATCACTGGGATTTTCCAGATCCAGTTACTGGGCATGCACGTTGGAGTTGCACCGTTGGCAACTTCCCACCATCCCTTTCCTTCTTTCTCTTTGTTAACATCTTTCCTCTCTACTCCCAGGATTCACACATGTTCTCACTCTAGGCCACAGATAATTTGATTGTTCTCCCATAAAAATTAAAGCGATCGAGAAGATTTCTACCTTGGGATTCAATTTGCCAATGTCAGTGTTTACTTTAAGAATTCTCAATAATGGTAAATTGTGCATGTCTAAATGGCTTCAGATATCATATACCACAACACAAAGTTCATGAATATGCTCCATGGACGAAGAAGAAGCAACTGAACGAGAGAGATGAATCGGTAAAACCCTGTACCAGTGAAGCATGAAGAAGTGCATTGAAGCAGCAAACAACAGATCATTGTTCATCATTTCATAAGTGCAATTGAAGTTTCAGATCTATGTTCTATCTCTCATCTCCAAAGTTCATTCTGATACATGTCCAAAACAAGATGAAAATTCTAATGCGATACTCACCCCATTATTTTCACTCTGTAGCTGATCCACAGGCTTACAGAAAAAATCAGCATCAGCACGCATAGGCCATCCCAAACGAAAACAATCTACAGACCTGCAAATATAAATGGCAAGTAAATACCTTCATAAATGAACATTTATGTATCCAAATAGTGAAAATTTTATTACCAGAAGTACTCATTCAAATCATCATAATTTCTCCATTGAGAATGTTTCGATTTGACCTTTTTGCTTCTCGCCGCTTCCTGAAATTATTAATTGTTAAATTAGGGTAAGAGTAAAAAAAGTATCATTTAAGTGTGATAAATGATTGGAAAATTAATCCAGCTGTTCCAGGCTGTACCCGAGCAATGACTTCATAAATTGGAGTGACAACTTTCTTCAGGAAAGCCTCTTCCTCTCCTCCATAGGCGGGTTTCACGTTTTCACCAGTCATTGGACTTACATTTCCAGCGAGCATACCATAAAGTTCAAAAGCCATCTGAAATTATAGAACCCAAAAATATTAACTATAACCCAGTTAATTAATAATTTTCCTTCAGAAATTAAGATGATCCGCCAAACCTTAAAAAATAAGAAAGAAATAAATATCAGCAATATGTGCTTCAGATTAATTCCTGTCCGACTGTAAAAGAAAAAAACATCTGAAAGCATACATGGTGATATATGTAGCACAGGCATTCTGGCAGGAATCTAAGATTGGCAGCTTCCCCCCATATAAGAAGATACAGGCCCATATATAATAATTTGCGCTGCTGCACTTCCTGCTGGATAGTGGGTAGCCTGAATTCAAGTATAAGTGATAAAAATATCAGCAACCGTCTACAGCTCTGTCTCAGTTTCAGTAGCACAATGACGAGCTATATTACAAGGCCAAACTTTGCAGATGCATAATCAAGCCACTTTGTGTTAATAGAGTAGACAGAACAGAGAATACCATAATCTAGATGACAGCTTTATAATGAGAAACGTACCATAGGCTACTTTTACGATCCAGATATTTGCACCACTTCTTGTAATTTTTGAAAAGCTTCTTCATCACTTCATCTAGAGCACGCTCATCCAACTAAAACCACAAAAACTGGTCATAATGAGTAACTTTGCCAAATGAACATGAACAAGAAAAGCTGGTGAGGTCAAAAAAGACCAACAATGAGAAGAAATATATTTTGATTCACAATCCTATGAAATGAAAGAAAAGAACTCCAGACGTCACAATTTCATTGATGCAGAATGAACTGTGAGGGAAATGATAAGTACTTTACAGTCCATCTTAAAAGTAACGATTAAATACAATTTTTCCATTGACTTCCACTGTATAATTCGTTTGAAATGGGTTTTTTAACACTTTCTACACCATTTTCTCTGTAAATTATTAGAGACAAAGTGTAGGTGAAGCTACTGGCTTTATCACATTTGAGTTAATGGAATGGAAGCGCAATAATGCAAGTGAACCACAAACCCATATCAGGTGCTGGCGGGAGGATGTTAAGAAAAATAAAAATCACCAGAAGACAAACCTTGGGTTGTTGATCTGGTTTTGGAAACTGCCGTATGTGAACATTTGCCAGTAGCAAAATTAAATGTTCCCTTTGATTTGCCACATTGTCTTTCTGCAAATTAATTAACCATAAAAAGCAATTAGAAGAGCTGTGAATTATGTCTGAAATCACACAATGATAATCACTACTTGTCATCTGATGCATGAAATGAGTAACAGCCAATCATCCCAAGATGCAGGACTAGAGGAACCGAAATATAAGCTGCTTCACCTGAAATCCAAACATAGATTGAAGCCAGTCAAGGATATCCTCATCTTTTTTCTTCTTATAATCCTTTGGCCAAGGAAGACCTCTTGTATTCCGAAGTGCATGCACAGCGGCTTGGATCTGCAAATTACAGTGAAGTCCACATAAAATATAAAAGTAAAATCATCAAATTAGAAACAGAAAGTAATTAAACCAAAGTACACAAAGCAAACTTCATACTGACCTCTGGATATTTCATGATTGCCTGATTTGCACTGTCTGGATCAAGAGGTAGAATGTTATAAGGTACATATATTTCAGTCTTCTCTGCAACTTTATCATGAGTTTCCAATATCTGTAGAAATTGAATCCCATGAAGCATTTATGATCAAGCAACATGAAAAGTATTAAGCATCATTTCTACATATGGTTATTTTTCAATGAAATACTTGGATTGTATAGACAAGAAAAAAATGTGATTGTAAATACTGTATACCTCACGATCAACTTCCACAGACTGTGTCTGGTTAACAGCTTTTAAAACCTCAAAGAGAACATTAGCTGTTTGGTATGCTTTTGTAAGCTGTGCACTGAAGAAGTCAAGTGTTATTAATAATTAATGTTAAAAATATTTTACAGTAAGTGCTCCAGACAGAAGAAAAAGTGCGGACAATTAATAAAACTTACCGATCAGCTTTATCAGCAGCATTTTGCAATGCTTGGATATATTTTTTGTAATAATGTTGATAAAAGCTTTGCATTTCCCGGGCATCACTTTTTTTAACTCTTCCCATCAAGGTGGGATCATTTTCCTGAAAAGGTCAAGTCATAAACAATAATATATCTGAATTCTTGTTATATACAATAAATTTTTCGACAAGGAACTGATAAATTGTGAGAGTGAGGAGTGCTAGATTGCTTCCTTCCAATAATAATACTATCTCTCCATGCAATTAACTGAGACACTCGGATCAATAACAAATTTCTAGTCTAGATGCAACATATTGGGCAGTCTAAAGTACGAGGGAGCAAAAAGCAATTTAAAAATAATCCAATTCACAAAACCTACAATAGTTTCACAATGATGTTGTCGAAACAAGTACCATTTATAAGTACTTGTATTACAGACTTTTTACTGGAGAAATGATAATTAAACAATATTTCAACCTTCATGACATCAAGTGAAGTAGTCTAGAAACTTTCCAGGAAAATCAATGGTTCTCAATGGAAGGGGTGACAAAATATTAAAAGATCAGGATGTGCTTTATGAATGACAAATAACTACAACAACACGCTCAGTAATAGTTGAACAAAGTCTGGTTAGTATACTTTTCATAGATTGTAACATTCTGATATTTTTGCTGGTTTTAAAGCAGGCTTGAAATTCTTGGTCATGTGAACTGAGAGATTACACCAGAGATTCTTTCAATCATACTAGATAAAATGTTCTAATACTTACTCTCTCAAGACGTTGCAAAAGAGCTGTTTTGAATTGACGAACACCACGTCCACTTGAAGTAGGATCCAACCTATGGGCTTTTTCAAAAGCATAGAACCTACCTGCATAATAAATATGTTTAGGAATACATATAGTTCATGAAAATATATGTGTATTAGAGGAACTTTAAAGCAGTTTAAGTTAAAATTTCTGAAACAACATGCCGAGATTGATGCACACACAACTACGTAATGATCATGGTAGAGTAAATGCCCACTTTTCCTCAGGCCATAAATACAGTATGTCAGCCATCTATGTATCCAGAAAATAGAAAGCAACCTTTTTTCTAAGACATGATCAGAGAAAAATGCATTTTGACACATATAATTTTGCTTGTAGTTCTAAGTAATTGAACGGTTGAATGGGTTAGAAATAAAAATTCATAACGTCATAAATGCTAAACATTGTTTATGGTTAAATTTGTGTTCATAAAAATTCGCAAAAAACACAGCCTGGTTTTCTAGATCATACTGATGTTAGGCCAACAGCCAGGAAATGCAAGCAATTAGACTCTTATCAGCATGAACACAAAGAAAATCACTTCTATGTGGTTCTTTTTAACTTTTTAGTGTTTCTCTTTAACTAAGTAAATGGCAGGTGCTCAAAAGGCTCCAAATGAACACTACAATCTAGTCATCCAGACAAAATATTTAATCCCTTAATCTTAGAACTTAATAACAAGATCAAGCAAACTACTCGTAAAGCACATCAGCACAAAGAATCTATGAATATGACCACATAACCACGCACATTGATATCCAATTAATAAATTATTCAATTTCAATAAGGCTCGTCAAGGCTCAAAAAGAGATTTTTTACATAATTTTATATAGTTAGGCTCGTTAAAGCTCGAGATCGGCTCGAACTCGGCTCATTAATATTGATAAACGAGCCGAGCTCGAGCTCAGTTTTTGCTCGTTAAGGGCTCGAGCTCGGGTCGGCTCATTTACAGCCATAGCCAAGCCAAGCCCGGCTCGTTAACAAAACAAGATTTAAGCGAGCTCGAGCTCGGCTCATTTATCAAATGAACCGAATCAAACTCAAGATTTAACAAGCCGAGCTCACGAGCGACTCGTTTCGTTAACAGCTTTTAGTTACAACTATACAAATTGGAAGTCAAAACTAATAAATAATTCAATGCTTACAGAGGTAGGCAACACGGGGGTTGCTAGGCTCGACTTCATTGGCAACACGAAGAATGGGGGCAATTTCCACCAGAGATGACGGGACTACTTCACTGTCAAATATAGACTCCCCGAGATTCCCAACCGTCTGCGTACGCGTGATCCGCCTTTGCAATTGCGGATTTTGCTGCGAGGGTCCTCCTCGTGAAGTCATTTGTATAACCTTTCCTCACTCAGAAACGATTCTTCTAGGAAGTACAGAACTTAACTACGAACCTCCAATCTAC